AAAAAAAAAGTAATGGAATAGGTATATAGCTCAGTGGTAGCCCACATACCTAGCATGCACAAGACCCTGGCCCCAGTACCATAAATAAAAACATAAAACATAAAAGAACATGGGACAAGGAGACAGAGTAACTACTATTTTTTTAAAGTCCCACCTGAAATTCATAGGTCATCATTATATTTAAGAGTTGCATGGTTTTAATAAAAAAAACAAGTATTCAAAGTAAACAGTTAACAATAATTTTACCAGTGACAGAAATGGATGCCACACCAGGTGTGGTGGCACTTGCCTGTAATCCCAGCACTCAGGAGGCTGAGGCAGGAGGATCACCACGAGTCTGAGACCAATCTGGGCTACATAGTGAGTTCAAGATCAGCCTGAATTACATAGTGAGACCTTGTCTCAAAAAAAGAAAAAAAAAGATGCCTAGGTCCTTGTCCCTAATCTGAAACCCTACCTTCTTATTCCTATACTTCCTATTCCCTAAATTATTATTTTTTGTTGTTACTGTTGCTGATGGTAGTGGTAGGTTTTTTTGAGACAGAGTCTTACTTTGTAGTTCAGACTGGCCATGAACTTAACAGGTAACCCAGGCTGGCCTCCAACTCTTGGTCATCCTCTTGCCTCCACCTCTCAAAGTGCTGGGCTTACACTTTTAATTCTGACTGTTACAGAGATTGACAAGGCAATCTGCACTTTTATTATAGTAATCTAACAAAATATACTCGTAATACTTTAGGACTCACTTTACTCATAAAAGTTATTTTCAAATACAAATGCACCTAATAGAATGACCACTATGCAATAATAATAACCATTTTACATCTCTATTTATTTATTTATTTATTTATTTATTTATTTATATTTATGGCACCAGGATTGACCCATGGGGCTTTCCATTTAGCTCCATCCGAAGCCCTTTGTTTTTTTGAGACAAGGTCTTGCTAAATCACTGAATTACTCTGGTTGGGACTGAATTTGTGGCCTTTCCTACCTGAGGAATTACAGGCATGTGCCATCACACCCAGTCACATCTCTCTTCTGACATGCTCCCAGGCCATGTATGTGTTCTTCCCAGAGGCACAGATCCCACTATTCAAACTAATAAGGACTAGTAGTTTACTCAGAAATTTTCTGTAGTAAGAAATAATGGCACACACCTATGACCCTAACATTCTGAGAGGCTGAGGCAGGAAGATCACAAGTTCAAGTCTAGCCTGGGCATCTTAACAATACCCTGTCTCAAAATAAAAAATAATAAATAAATAAAAATAAAAAAGGGCTAGAGATGTAGCTCAGTATCAAAGTTCTGGGTTCAATCCCTAGTACCACAGGCAAGGAAGGAAGAGAGTAAGAGGAAGGGAGGCAGGGTGGGAAAGAAATTAATTTTATGTACACTGCTTTATCTTTTAAGATTTCTTGGAGTGTAAATAAGGACCAAAAGATATTGGGAAATGGAAAGAAAATGTTCAAATGAAAAGGGGAACAATGGAGGGGGAGGGGTAAAGGAAAGAAGGGACATGAAACAAGAGAATAAAAGGAAAAAATGGAAACAAAGCTGTGTAAATAAGCAGGGGAAGAACGGTGAAAGGGAGAGGAGGGGAATAGGAACAAAAAAAGAAGCGAGATATATCATGTACAGGTACAAATTCCCTATGATGAATGATGCTATTATGTACATCTAAAATGTACCAATTTAAAAAAAAAAAAGATTGGTTGGAAAACCAGAGCTTGTAACTTCCAAAGTATTTCAAATACACTAAGTCCACGGCTTGCAAACATGCTAGTTTCAAACTTTCACAGGTGTACTGTATAAAATTCACTTTGTCATACACAAACAAATCCAACTTACTATAGGGGGGGATAGAGGGAAGGTGAAAGGTCATAAAAAAGAATTATGTACATGTACCAATTCTCCACTATGAATGTAACTATTACGTACTGCAAACATGTAACAAAAAAATTTAAATTAGCATGGTAGGTGGATATGGTGGTGCATTCCTGTAATCCTCAAACTCAGGAGGCTGAGGCAGGACGAACACTGTGAGTTTAGGGCCAGTCTCTGCTACATATTGAGTTCGATGCCAGCCTGAACTAGATAGTGAGACCTGTCTCAAAAACAAACAAAAAAGAAAAAAATTAAATTAAAAAATACACAGATGAGCAATTATAAGCTAAATGAAAACCAAGCCAGGTGTGGCACCCACCTGCCAGCACTTGGGAAGCTGAGGTAGGAAGATCACCGTGAGTTTGAAGCCAGCATGGGCTACACAGCAAGTTCAAGACCAGCTTGAACTACACAGCTTTTCTTCTTTTTATCTATATTTTTACATAAAATATTACTTACTCAGCAAATAGTCTGAATATTGCTCCCATTTAAAAAAAAAATCACTACTAATAAGAGCTCTCATTTAATGAGAATTTAACGTCAGATTCATTCTCATTTAATCTTCATACCCCTATCTATAGCTATCCTCTTCCTACAAACAAAGATGTTATACAGCACGACCACAAAATACTACAGTCAACGTTTGAAAAAAAGTTTACTTATTATAGTAGAAGATACATTACCATTAACCCCTCTTAAAATACTCCCCCTCATCCCACCATGTTTTCTCAAGCAGTTCTGGATGGAGTGTCTTCACTCTTTGGCATCTTTAGTTGCACTGTTGTAGCTGCCTCAAAGTCCTGAATCAGTTCAATGTTTACCTTTTATGCTCATTTTGACTTTAGGGAAGAGGCAGACAGATCCAGGAGCAAGTTCAAATTAGGACATACAATATGGTAATGTTTTATGACACTGCCTTTCTGTTGGATGGTACTCAGCAGCATCACCACACTTCTAATTACACCTAGTAAAGATACTCAAAGAGGACTTCCAGAACTGCTTCACAAAGTGGTACAATGTAATCACCATGTACTCCAAACACATACTAATTAAGTATTTCAAAAATAAATTTTTAAAACAGGAGCAAAAATGATGAGATAAGGGGGAGCATTTTGTAGAGGATTAATGACAATATGTATTTTACTGTAGTAAACATAGGTTATAAAGGCTAAGTAGCTTGCCCAGGATCATTCACTCAGCAGCGGGTGAAGCCCAGCATCAGTCTTCTATCAGACCTATATTCTACAGGGACTTTTTTTGGTACTGGGAATCGAACTCAGCTCCTTGTGCTTGCCAGGCAGGCGCTTGTGCCACTGAGCTATATCCTCCATCCTGTATAGCAATTTTTAAGTAGCCATCATCCTGCTATCAACCTGACACAAAGCTACCCTCTAGAATCACACTAACGAAAGAGGATGGCTGGGGAGGGGTGCCAGGCATGGTGGAGCACATCTGTAATCCCAGCACCTGGGAGGCTGAGGCAGGAGGAATGCTGCAAGTTTAAGGACAGCCTGGGCTACATAGTGAGTTCAAGGCCAGCAACCTCCACTGCTCAGCAAGACCCTGTGTCAAAAATTCCCCACCCCGACAATGCCAAAGTCACAGGTTCACAAGACCTGCTCTCACTAGCCCTGGTCAAAAACAGAAAAAGGGTCCAAAAGGAAGATTTCTCAGTTTAAAATTGACAAGAACAAGTTGGGTGTGGGGGTACAAGCCAAAAATCCAGTGCTCTGGGAGCCTGAGGCAGAAGGATGGCAAGTTGGAAACCAACCTGGACAAATGAGCAATTTAGTGAGACCTCCATCTCAAAAATAAAAAGGGCTGAGCTGGACGTGATGGAGCACAGCTAGTAATCCCAACCTGGTGGAGGCTGAAGCAGAAGGGTAATTGTGAGTTCAAAGCCAACCTGAACTACGTAGCACGACCCTGCCTCAAAAACAAAATAAATAAAATAAAGTAACATAAAATAAAGACGACAAATTGGATTGGAGATGTGGATCCGTGGGAAGGCCCTGCGTTCACTCCCCAGGGCCCACGCTATTGACGTGAACAAAAGAGAAGTTTGTCAAGTTCCACGGACGTCCACTCCAGATACCACGTGTAGAAACAGCCAGTGAGTAACAGCTCCGAAGAAAACGAGGCGCCACAAAATTCGATTCAACGTCTTAAGATTCGAAACTCTCCGCTTTTTATCTGTCCTAACACGGTAGCCACCGGCAACATGTTGTTATTTCAACTTCACTGAACTTGAGAATGAAGTGAAATGTGAAAGTTTACTTTCTCACTCGCATCACATGTCCCGCAGTCCGCGGCCACGTGTGGCCAAGGCACGGAGCGCCCCTCTCCCGCGGGACAGCGCGGCTCCCGGGCACGAAGCGCGGCGGCGGGGCGGGGCGGGCGGGGA